TAGTTATACATATTAGTTTAATTAACATTTTATTGTGTTGAAAACAACTGTGATATTCAACTAGAAGAAGAGTTTTATATTATGTGATGCTATAAAATCAGCTTCTGCCCTCACGATAGGTGTGGGTTGTGGTCATAGTGAAAAATAATACAGCACCGTGTCGACCCATTTCCGACTCTCACTACTCTGTGGCATGAAGTAGTTGTGAGAGTTTCGTCTGAAAGTGTTGCATGCAGAGACAGCTTGGTTCCCACATTGGTCATCAGGGATTATTCCATCATCTTGTGCCCTAAAGAGGAGCATTCTGGACTGTTTTTAAAAATGGAAGCAGGGAGAAAAGCAAAGATAGACAAAATGGAAAATGGGATGCGTGAAAGGAATACAAAAGTGATTGCATTTGGAGGCAAAAGTGGTAAAGCAATGGATAGAAGGTGGAAGGAAAAGAGAGTTAAAGAAGGAAGTGGAAATGAGGAAGAGAGGATAGGTTTGGAAACAAGTGGAAAAGACGCTGGGAGTAATCAAGGATAGGAGAGCAATGAGATTTGGATTATATATAAATAATAAGGAGAGACTTGTGGGGAGCAGAGAGAAAATACATTTTAAAAAATGACCCACGGGTATGCTCACAAGGCTGGAGAATGGTCACCAGGCTGGAGAAAAAATATATCAGGTCCAGCCACTCAGGATTGCTGCAGGACAGCAGGTTTATTGGAACAAAAATGCAATGTTTAGGCCTACACAGAGCCTTTATCAACCAGGCTGGAGAAAGACTGTTGAGGTTGCAACCATGAGCATTTATAGAGTGTTAGGTTCTGGATTTGTGAATGTTGCAGCAATGGTAAAATCATTTACAAAATAATGTATACTGATGTGAATGTGTTTGTGCAGTGTGTGTGACAAGTGCAAAAGTGCTCTATTTTGGGTTTTTATGCTGTGTTTGAAGTTGATAAGTTTGCTTGTCCATAATTAGATGAATTTAGTCATGTTGTGCAGGACCCACATCATGATATACTTGGTGTTCATTTTTGCTCATATATGCTCATGAATTAGTGAACATGAACTCATAGGCTCTCTTGGTACAAAAAGAGTCCCTCCTGTATTGTGCAAGTATATAGTGGTAATAAATCCACCAAGCAAAAAAATACAACCTGGCAAGTAAGGGAAATCTTCCCTCTTGCATAGGCAGTGTTGTTGTGCAATGTGATCTGATGAGGGTCGTCTTTAAAGCGGGGCCCATTGCTTTTTTCGGCAACCAGCTGGGAGGAAGTGACGGCCGCGCATCACTTCCTCCTGCAAAGAGAGGAGCGCGCGGGAGAGAAGGGTAGGCAGAGTGGAGGGGGGCTGGCCGAGAGAGCCAGACCCCAACTCCCAACACTTTCAGCCACCAGCAGGAAAGGTAGGAAACTGGAGGGTGGGTTTTAAAGTGTAAATTTTGTGTGTGTGTGTGTGTCAGTATATCTGTGTTTGTGTCAGTATGTCTGTGTGTTTTTCAGTATGTCTGTGTGTGTGTCAGTATGTCTGTGTGTTGTGTCAGTATATCTGTGTGTGTAAAATGCAATGCAAAAGGTGAAAAATATTTTGAAAAAGAGAAATACTGGTGCTACTCTCACCTTAGTGGGCCACAATAACCACTAAATAAAACAAAAGTGATCAATAGATAAAACAGTGGTGAGAGCACTCAAAACAAATAAAATAAAGCCAATATTACCCAAAATGTAGTACGTCTCTGAAATAAAGCAGAAAATACAATAGGGTAATAACGTATGCATAAAATATTAAACGTAATGTGTTAGTCTCACTCACATACGTAGAGCCAATTAGAAGCTGGCTCAAGCTGCACGCCTTGGACAAATAATTCCTTAGGACTCAAGCTGGCTTCAGCTGGGTTCTTCCCAAAATTCAGATTCATGTGTTACCAGAAACGCAGGTTCAGAGATAAACACAATTCTTTATTGAAAAGTAAATGAAATTAAAATTCCAAAAAGTAATAAATAAAACAAGTAAATAAGGAAAGTCCCATATAAATAGTCCTGAATGGATACACCTAAGGACTACTTATATGGGACTTTCCTTATTTACTTGTTTTATTTTTTTTTTAGGTCCACCACTGCATTGGGGTGGAGGACGTGATTGCACGCTTGGGAAGGGGGAAGGTCCAGGGGGCACCAAGAAAATGCTTTGTCCAGGGTCCAGTCAATATTAAAGATGGCCCTGGCTCTGACATAATATTTTTGCTGCCTACATGATTAAAATAAACTGTGCGCACGCTCACTGCTAATGCGTGAAAAGTGGTGCAGCCCTGTAGCAATATTTCACCCTCCAGTGACATGGGCAGTGAGCCACAATACTCGTACATATACATTACAAATAGTAAATTTAGCCATTGTAGGTAAACCATCCAGTAATTACATATATTAATATACTGCAGAACTTGTTATTTAAGAAAAATTTAAAAAATACTTTTCACTTTATCAATTTTCATCCTATAGACAGGGTTCAACTTTGGCCCCCAGCTGCTGCTGAAAGAAGTTCTCAAATGTCTGAGAAATATGTCATGTAATAAAGAGAAATAAAATAAATGTTTTTTTGTTTTTTTTTAAATAAATGCAGGGCTTAGAATTTTAAGTCCTATGCTACTAGCCAGGCCTTAAGGTTACTCACCACTTGAAGTCTAAAGGGTCCATGGCACACTCACAGGGAGTGAATTCCTACTTGCCAAGGTCAAATTTTTACTCACCAATGTCTAGTGGGCAGGTAAATATTTTCAGCCCTTATGAAGATGTACTTCTGCTCTGGTAGGATTTCTGGATTAAGATAAAAAAAGAGTAGAGTTTTTTTATATTTATATTATATATAAATATATATATAAGTATATTATCCTGTACCAGAACCTAGCAAAAGGAAACATGACTAATCTCTAAAGATGTACAACTTGAACCCAACGAAGGATAAATCGATATCATATAACCATACAAATATTTTAGGCATTACACAAACAAGGGTCTTCATTAAAGAGAAAATTCCAAATTTAAATCCACAAAGGGTCATATTCAGTTTGGCTTCTCTGACCTTAAATATAAAATTCTCTTAGACCTCAATTTGAGTTCTCATTTTAGTAAATAACCCTAAAATTCCTAGTGGGTGAAGTTCTCCTTAGAAAGATATTAGCTTGAAAGGGGCACACATTGAGATTGGAGAGGGAAAGGTTGGATTAATCATATAACCAATAAACAAAATTTTACTGATACAGCTGTAGATGCATGAAATAGTCTTCCAACTGATGGAAACAAACACAGCTTATACTTTTTGTTAGGGAATGAGCAGACTAGATGGGCCAAACGTCTTTTGGTAATGATCAAAATTTATGCTTGTATATGCTGCAAGCTTTAAAAACACAAAAATACGCAAGGGCATAAAAATGTAAGGTTTGTGTGGTATTTCCGCAGTGATTCTAAAATGAGTGTAATGCAAAAACAAGTTTAGCGCATTTATCTCTGTTATTAGAGACCATAGACATTCCATAAACTATTGGTAAGGTCTCGTCTACCTCACTGATACCTTGTGGCCAAAGACCTGTATGTCATAGCTTAGGATTGTGACAGAGATGAAAGATATGGTGTTAAGTCTAACTAAGCCTAATTCTCGGTCTATGTGCAATGGTGTATTTACAAGTATAGGAAAAGAGCAACAAACACTGTCATGGTCTGCTGTAAATTTCTTGGCCTAAGCATTGTGGGTATCTCTAAGTGCAGTAGTATCTCTCCCAGTCTTGTCACACTTGGTTTAAAATGTTCAGCTGCACACACCTCGTGTAATAACATTATACTGACGCCATAATTTAACTATTGTAGTGGAAATTTTATAGCAATAACTGGTAATAGTTGTTGCAGCTAGAATATTTGGTTGATTTAATTATATGGCAAAATTTTGACATACATTAATATTGGTGTATATTGACATTATAAAGACAGTAGTGTAGATGCTTATAATTGAGTGCTTTACTCCGGTTGTTTTTTTGTTTTGTTTTTTTTAAACATTAATAGCTGAATCTGAATGTCAGTAATCTAAATTAGTGGTACCCAAACAAAGTGTTGCAAATCTCAATGCTTATGTTATCAATATTTTCACATGCTGCCTGTCAACATGATGAAATTATGTGTGTCTAGGAAAATTGCAACACTCCTCCAAATTGATGTTCATCGTCATCATGCTTTGCGTGATTATGCCGAATGTGAAGAACTCTGGTTGTCGAAGGTCTTAAGGAGGAAGTCTGTCTCATTGTATAGTCTAAATTAACTTCTGACCAGTTCACGTCATATCCTCAACTCCAAAAAGTATAAGGATGGGGTCGCCTAAGCGACCTGGACACTTTTAGACCGGGAAATTAATTCTTTTTTTTTTAAATTATTATTATTATTTTGTTTTGTTGCAATACATAAATGTATAATAGACAGACTTGAGGTGCCCCCATGGCAATCCCCAGGCATAGCATTCCGCAGTACATTTGAGGTTATAGAGAAGTCATGCACAATTTTTTAATAGAGATTAAACACACTGAACTATATCAGGCTATAACACAGTGCTAGTAGTGATCATAGACAGGGTAACGTGTGGACCACTTGCACTGGAAGCATGCAGTAAGGTTAAATGAGGAGCAGTGCAGTGCCCATGAGGAGCACCTAGGTGATACTAGCTAGATTAATGCCACAGAGTGGAATAAGGTTAAAAGAAACTCTATGAACAAAAAAAAAAAACCAAATAGCTTAAAACTGAAAGTGGTTGAAAACGGGGTGCAGGGATAGGAACACTTCCTAATATTGGCCTAGAGGCCTAAGGGGAGTGGGGCCCTACATTGAGGTGGATCATCATCCTATGCCCACCGATCCATGTAGTCCACCCAAAGGTATAATTAAATACTGGTACTCCTAAAAGCTACCCCACCAGCCCCAGACTCTGATACAGCCCAGGACTTGTTCCTCACTGGTCTGTTCGCTTCCCACGGTCCAGATGGAATCTTAGGACCCTCCTGCATGTAGCTGGCGTCGTCGCTGAGCATAGAGTCCCCGGATTTGTGAGCGCTGCCTGGGGATATGTACCCGTGTGGACTGAGGTCTAGGTGGATGTCGGCAGATCTTTGAGTGTTGTCTGTGGAGTCGAGGTGCAATCTTCCTCATCCCTCCTCTCCATTTAGCTGGCTGCACTGGGGCTTTGCTGATCAGTGCTGGCCGTGTTTCAGAGGCCTGACTTGCCGCGGTCTGTTGAGGTAAGTCTCGTTTCGATTGCCTCTTGATGGCAGCACGTAATTGAGACCATTCCTCAAGGTGGGCCCATGTCGCGTATGTCATACAGGTGGCCATCTTAATTCGTAAGCCACGTGTAGACAGCTGGGAAGGTTTTTGTTGCTGGATTCCCCTAACAACCCACTTCTCAGCAGTGTTAAGGTAAGTACTCTGTGGGGACAGAGATATCCCCCACCGGTCCAAAGGGGGGGAGGGAGCGACGTGTGAGCGTCCCTCCGCTAGCCAGAGAACTGGAAAAGTGTCTGTCTCTCCTCAGCTCCCACTCGTTTAGGCCGCAGGCCTCGATTTGGACAGCTCAGCCGCAGGGAACCTTGAGTCGGGTATCCCCGGGTGCAGTGATATCCTCCGGTCAGGATGTTTGCTATTTGCAGCCAGTGTAACCAGTGTAGCCAGAGACCACACGTACACCATCCACGTCTTCCAGGTCTCTGCCACCCCCTTCTCCATCTGGCGTATCTACTCCACTCTCCTGAGCCAAACTTGGAATTTTGGGGGGTCCTTCCGGTAAAGCCAGAATCTTGGCCCCAGACGCAGGAGCTCTTGGCAGGTACGTCTGGTCCGCTTAGAAGTCAAGCTCCGCCCCCTTGCAAATTCATTCTATATTAGAACGTGGCATTCAAGCAGGCAGCATCCATATTTCTATGGAAAATGAGAGCATGAGGTCGAGCGCTGCGTTCGGCCCACGTCAACTGAGAAGAGGAGCCGTTTGATGGCGTTGACCAGGTATCGGGACACATAAGCAGTGTTTGTCTTGAAAATTCTCTTTCTGACGGTTATTTCTTCTTCACAGAGAGTTTCTTTTTTTTTTTTTACAATCTCGTTTCTATTAAAGATTTTGCAATACAATCAAGAGGTAAAAGACAGTAAGAACAATCCAACAGTTATTGATGTGTTACATGGTCGAGCGGCATAATAGGTATGTCTCCAAAATTCCCCAAGCTATATTGTGGGTATCCTCTGCTAGTTGGCCTTACAGGAGAACAATATTAACAGCTCGAACGTGTGCTGCCTGGCTTTATATCGGGAGGTTGGTGCGTTGATGATTGTCACCATGGGGGGCTGCGGATAGCTGTTGCTTCTACCTAAGATATTTAGTGCCCGGTTTTCATGTAAGGTGGGCGAGTGGAGTTTAACAGTACTCACCAATGCGTCTTAACAAGCTACGTTGTTAGGCCCCCCTGTAAGCTTCAGAGATCGGCACTTGCTCGGATCTCAATCAAGCCCTCTGCATCCTCAGCCTTTCTGTGACGCTTAACATTGGCCTAACTATCCCCTGAGTTAGTGATTCCTTATGCTTGTAGTAGGATGTTCTCCTTATCAGTTAATGACACCCTCTGCTAGTAGACCCATGAAGCTTTGAGAGAGCGTTGCTGGATAGGGGAAGGAAAGTAGGGTTTAGCATGCTCCGTTGTAACTGGCATGTTATTCAAGTAGAAGCTGTATGTAATAGAAAAAGTGGATGTTTGGTCGTATGGTATGGGGAAAGAAGGTGTAAGGGAGGGAGTGATCAAAGTGGGAGGAAAAGTAAAAGGTGTGTAAAAGGAATGAGTACGGCAGCCCCGGTGTGATCGCCCCCATCTAGCCCCATTTAGGACCCTTCAATCGCACTCATCGCCTCCTCAGCCGAACTGCCATTTCCCTCGGTTGTAGCATAGTCAGTCTCGAGAGCACAAGTACACCATCCACGTCCTCCAGATCTCTGCCACCCCCTTCTCCATCTGGCGTATCTCCTCCACTCTTCTGAGCCAAACTTCGGCTGTTACTTAACATTCTGGCTTGAGTGTTTGTTTAGGTGTGCTTATATACTAGTGAATAAAAAAGTACCTATCAGTATAACTGCTTTAGCCACTTGAATAGTGGCTAATTCCTGCTTCTTTCAGCGTGAGGCTTCCAGGGAGCAAATTTGCTATTTATTTATTTATAAAATATTTTACCAGGAAAGACACACTGAGATTTCTTTCATTTTAAAGTATTTGGCACAAACAGTTTTGTTTCTTTATGTTTTTACATCTACTGACTCTTTCTTTTACAAGGAAGTTCTGTGGGAAATCGTCTGCTTTGCTCTCTGCACCCTACTTCATGCCCACCCTGTTTTGTGATTCATATCTTTGTAACTTAGGCATGGTTGTCCAAGCAGTAACTATTTCCTTGTGGTTGGCTAACACACAAATATTAAAAAATATATAATAAATTATGCGTACCAGATAAATTTATGGTACTGTTGCCTTCTTCTTTCTCTTTTTTGTTGTCTATTCCTCGCCTCCACTTGACTACACAATAAATTGAGGAGTGCGGTTGGGGAAACTGGGAAGAGTAGGTGTCACAAATAATTCCGGCCTGTCCAGTTAATGGATGCTTTATCCTTGTAGTAACTGTATATTCTCACAAACCGTGACCACACATAAATTAATTTATCAGGTAAGCTTAAAGTTTGTTTTTGCACGCTAACATGCATCCTCCTTTCATCAAGCCAAAGGATGGACAGTCTTTGCTGACCAAGAATTTTTTTTTTTTTTTATTGATGTTTTCTCATGAAAAATACAAAAAGTAGGCAAAGAGAAAACAAACAGTAGACCTTTCATATACTTTTATGTTTTAACTATAACCCTTTGTAATTGTTGCTTTCCCAGAGAAAATAAATCCCAGTTTGAAAAGTCCATCATCATTGCTACGCATGTTACTATAATTTGAATTAATTTTGTTTCTTACATACCAACCATTTCAGAAGTTTTTTTCCTTACACTTACATTGGAAGGCAATCATAGATAACTATAACTTTTCCATTAAGTTAAATATCTGCAAATTACTACTTTATTTTCCAACTTGAAATCATGCTCTTTGATCAGATCATTTAAAATATTTCTTAAAACATATTTTAAAAAGGATATGTCAAAACAGACATTTTTCAAGTATTTGTAACTCAGTACAAGGGCACTTTGGATTTGGACTTGTCATAGCACACAGTGAATAGTGCCATGTAAATTTCACTGGTGATATATTTCAGGAATAATATATTTCAGTCCAGGATGGAATCATCTGAAGCATTAATCCCTTTCACAGTAATCTGGCAGCGTTAGTCATAAGGAGTCAATGCACATGAAACAGATTTGGGGAAGTGGTTAGATTCGTTAGCATATTCCATTGAGTCTTTGTAGATATTTCAGTCTTTGGTCAAACCACCGTGGTCAAAAAAGGAATTAACAAATCGAGTCTCTAGCCATAGCTTTCTGTTACTTCTGTATGATTTTTTATGGTACCTAGATCAGGTGGCACAGGTGCCATTACTGATATTCAGAGACAGCCTTAGCCATCAATTCTGTAAACTTGAAAACATATTGGTCCCAATGTTCCATAACATCTCCAGGTAATATGTCATAGATTGGACTGTTGACATAAACACATAAAAAGCATTTGGAACCTTTTGTCTGAAAATAACAAATAAAATAAAAAATTATAATTAATTTCACATACATCTGGGGATTTTTCAGGGTTTATACAATCAGGATTGAAAAAAAGTTCAGATGAATTTTCAGTCTGGGAATATAGGTAAAACCTAAATTATATAACATTTATACTTACATATACTCTTTATTTTCTAAAGCTTGTGTCTTTCCAACTGCATATAAAGCTACAATGAGAATAATATTGATGAATTGTAGAATGTAAAAATATAAGTTTTCATCTACAAGCTCATTCAATCCTGCATTTGTTCCCTTCTTCATTATTCAAATGGACATAAAGGGACAGTTTAATTTTAGGGGTGTAAGTGAAGGTGGGGCTCTTCTGAAAATCTTTAGGCGACTTCCTAATAATTTATGCAATGAAAATGTAACATAGAACATTAGCAATGTATCTTATTTATACAGATGTATTTCAAAACATTCATTGTAGTTTAGAAAGACACATTACTGTAAGTATTATTGTGAGTATAAGTAACTCTTGGAAAACAGGGACATTCCTTTGCTCATTGTGTATTTAAATGACAGATTGCATAAGATACGTGTCTATTTATATGATCAAATTAAGGATGATCTCACAACAGTTGTTTTTAGACGGGGCTATGTACTAAAAATAGAATTGTAGGGATGTGCATGGGCAAAAAATCTGGTTCGGTTCTGTTCGGAAATTTGGGTAAGTAAAAAAATGTGTCTGATTCGGCAATTCGGACCAATGGCATTCGGTTTGGTTTGGCACTTCCGAAATTCAGGATTTCGGCAATTCAGCACTTTGGCAATTCGGAACTTTGATAATTCGGACCCTAACCACTAACCCATAAAACCTAACCTGTAAAACCTAACCCCTAAACTCTAAGCCACTTTGGCAATTTGGAACTTTGACAATTCGGGACTTTGGAAATTCAGCAATTCAAACTTCGGACATTCGTAAGCATCCGAATGTCCGAATATCACAAAATTTGTCCGAATGTACATTCAGAACAAAACGAATTGCACATGTCTAAAGAATTGTCAGAACTGGGCTTGCCGAACCAGAGGCATAGCTGACTTTGAGAATTTTTTTGGCTACTTTGCCCTTAACCCCTTAAAGACCGAGTGCAGTAGTACTAAGTTCTACTAAAAACAAAACCTGTTATTTGCACTATAAGTCTGTTCAACCGAAATTCACCTTTTTCATATTAAGTGCACCTATTAAGTGGTTTATTTATATATCATTTTTTTTATTTTTTAGTTTTGTAGTACATAAGATTATTACATACAAGCTTGAGGTACCCCAACCGCAATCCTCAGGCATATCATTCTATTAGGGGTAATAGAGAAGGTATGCACAATTAAAAGAGAAACAGGAATTAATCAGGATAGAGTAGCTCAGCAATATAGTAGCACTCAATCCAGGTTTAAAACTGTAAA